TCCTCAGGCCCCCACCTGTCCATTGTCTCTGTCCATGGGCTGTTCATATATGCTTATAAATTCTTTGGTTAATCTCTTCGCGTCCTCCTTCCCTCTGAGATCTGTTTCATGCTTCCATGTCTGTGGTCCTATCTTGTTTGTCAGTTTTTTCCCCCCTTAGATTCCACATATAAGTGAGTCCTGTCATTTTAATCTAGATGCTAACTCTCAGGAAATAAAACAAGGTGGGCAGAGCTCAAAGTTCAGGACTTCTGGTTACTTCTAGGACCTTTGCAACAATGGAGGGCAGTAGTGCATAGAAGAGCACCTCTTTTGGCAGTGAGCACAGCAACTTATGAAAAGAATCCCACAGCATGAGTGCCCTCGTCAAACTGTCTAGTCAACCTGAAGTCTCTTTTACGGGGATGCTCTGTTTATAGAGTTATATAGTCTTGGAGAGGTAGGTCGGTATCTTCTGTTCCTAATGTGTTTTTTCTGTCTTGTTTTGTTTGTATTTATTGTCATTGTATTTTAGAATGAATAGGAACCGGATCAACAACGCCTTCTCTTTGAATGACCAGACTCTGGAATTTTTAAAAATCCCTTCCACTCTTGCACCACCCACTGAGCCATCTGTGCCCGTGTGGATTATTATATTTGGTGTGGTATTTTGTGTCGTCATAGTTGCAATTACACTATTGGTTTTATCAGGAATCCGGCAACGTAGAAGGTAAGATATTGAAAGGGAATGATTTAAAGAGTGTTTTTGTATTTGCTTATGACTTGGAAACATAAGGAGAAGATTTACCCTGAGCTGAAGATAATGCCTTCTATCTGAAACTGAAAAAATTGGCGATTTTCAAAATATCACTTATGCTTTTGTTTTTAGAGGCTTTTTGGAGTCCAGTGTCCCTTACTTAATTATGGCACCCAGAGCAGTCTGGGTAACTGATCCTTGGTCTAGCTCCAGAGTCATAAGGAAAGCCCTAAGGCAAGGCTGAGCTGGCTCAGCCAGCTGGAACAGTCCCCAAGGCTGAGACCATGCCTTGGGGACAGCATTCTGCAGTCATGCTCTCTGTGCACAGTGTTTGTTATGTTTTGGGGTTTTTTAAAGAATAATAAGAAATATTCTCTTGTAATATTTGAATACCTACATTTAATATTTTAAAGTTTTGTTTTAATCCTAAAATGCTATAATTCTATGATTTCTATTGATTGTAACCTTTGTGAATGGACTTCATCTCCTTGTTTCCCAATTTTCTCACTAGTATAGGAGTTAGAAAAATGGACTTTGGAAATAAATTACTTAGATTCCAAGTATTTATCACCTAATACTCTTATATATAATCCATTAACTGTATGGATATCAGGAAGCACAGGCAATGAGTCAGGGAAATCAAACTCAGGAGAATCTGGCTTGTGGCACTGGAGTCAAGTTGGTTAATTTTTTTCTCTCTGTGTGTAGGTAACTTCGCTAAAGCGACAGCCAGCGAGATAGACTGGAAATAATTAACTTGATGGGATAAAAAGAGTTAATACAGTAAAGTGCTTAAAGTGGTGCCTGGCATACAGTGAGCGCTCAATAAGTGTTAGCTGTTACTATTATTTTATTATCCGGCCATTTGCTGGCCTTTCAGCAAGTTTGTGCTGGGATCAGCTATCTCTTGCCTTCTGAGCAGATTCTACAGTAATATAATAATTGGGTGTGTAGCATCATAATCTGTTGCCTGGGAGAAGTGAGGCTGTTGTCACAGTTTTGCCTTCACAAATTCATTTCATGTTCAAACTAGGAAAACAGATGGACAAGTCTCTTGGTAAACCTGGAGAGCATCAATAATTAGCAAATATAGTCAGGACAATTATGACAATGTTCTGAAGATAAATTGATTTGTTGTGTTTTAAGTTTGATACAATCTACGGTGGGTTTCTCTTGTGCAAAGTATTACTTCAAAGTGAGGAGAGGGTGCAGTTTGAAGTGGGGAGAGCCCTGATAATTGTGATGAAAGCCCTCTCCAATCATGGAAAGGATATGACTTGCCCCCAAAGCCTTTAGTTGGGGGAGACAAGATGAACTGTGTATACTTCACAATGATATCTGTAGTAGATCTGTGTCTAGTCCTCTTGCCAGCCTTATGATGATGGTGATGGTAATGGTAGATGATGAGGTTGACAATGATGGTTATAACAGTGAGGGGGATGTGATAATGGTAATAGTGATGATGTTAATGATTTGATATGTGTTTTAGTAGAAAGAACACTGGATCAATACTCTTTGTTTTGGGTTCCAGTGTCAGGCTCTGCCATTTATTAGCTGAGTGACCTTGCGTAGGTCACATATGGAAAGTGAGAATATTTTTCACCTAGCTCCCTAATTGTTACAGAAATTTTAGAGCAAATAATTGTTTATTTCTTTGCTGTTCTTAAATGTACATACTCAGTAGGAATCAAATACATGTTTTTAGTGAAGCCTAAGAGACTAAATAGAGTACTAGGTCCACTCCTTTCACCAGTCTTGTCCCATTCTGAAAGAGAATTTACTCTACATATTTGAACCTGAGCTCCTTCATCTGAAAAACAGGGATACTAATACAGTCTTCATAATATTGCAGTGGGAATTAAATGAGATGATGTATGCAAAGCACTGGTTTCTGCCATGTAATAGATACCAATTATTATTATTCTTGCTATCACATGGCAGATATAAAGCAACCTGCCTACAGTCATATAGTTAGAAAGTACTGGTACCATTCTTTAAAACCAGATGGGCTTGATCCCAAAGCCCACCAATCTCACTGAAATTGTTCCAGCAATTCTATGCCCACTGAAATTGTTCCAGCAACACGATTTTCTCCAGGAATCATCCATATTGATTTGACGACAGTCCCAATTCTCCAATAATTGATTCTGTGTTTAAAAATCACACCTGTCTTCCTTTATTGTTTTTCTGGCTATTCTGCAGCCTTGGCTTTTCAGCCCTATCTTGTTGAAGGAAGACTCAAGCACTCTTTCTGCTTTTAGCCACCACTACTTTATCTTGAGCAAACAGTATTCATTAACACCCCCTAGTTCTGAGGGCCACTCGAGACTTCTTTTGCCCCTCTTCTCTCTGGACACTACTCACTCTCAAGGCTCCCAGGAGCTAGTTTCAGGTATTTTAGTCACTTTTTTAACCCTCTTTCTGAACTACCTGACATTGCAGGAACAGCAGAAGTCATTAACACTCTATTTTTTAGGAAAAATAATTCATGTTTTTGGCAGGACATCAAATCAGAATGATTCAGAAAGATGGTTAAGTTTTATTATTCTTAGTAAGCAATGCACAGGCAGTGAATCAGTTTATTGCAGGGCACACTGTGAAACGTGACAAAGTGCTATATTACTACTGTAAGATCACCTTTGAGCTGCTTATCATGTCCACCAGCCAACATGTTAGTGACACTGCAATTTTTGAAGCCCAGAAATGCCAAGACTCTGTACAACTGACTCTAAGGTTACAAAAGAACATGTACCTAATTTAACTTGTCACTGACACAGCTCAGTTTGCTAAATTTTCATAGCAATTTCACTCAATCTTTTTTTGGTTGAGAAATCCTTCTAAAGACGAGAAACGTCCTCTTCTGTTTGCATCATTCATTTGTGATGCCTGATGGATTATTTTTCCTTTGTGGTTGAGGAGGGGGAGGCAAGATTCCTTGCAGTGATCTGCCTGGGTTCAGCTCTCTGTAATTTTTCTTCTAACTCCATAAAAACATTTTTCTTAAGTGAAGAAACTGGTAAATAAACCCATTAACCATTATTTCCAAGACTGTTGCATTGCCACCTACTTCAGACTGCTCCATCCACTAAGATTTTTGTAATATGGCTTTCATACTTAACATACAGAAATTTTAGGGTAAGATTGGACTGTTACTGTAAAAAAGAAAGATCTCTTATCCTTTGGGACAGCATGGAGGGAACTGGAGAGTATTATGCTAAGCGAAATAAGCCAGTCAGAGAAAGACAAGTACCACATGATCTCACTCATATGTGGAATCTAATGAACAAAATAAACCGATGAACAAAATAGATCCAGAGACATAGAAACATGGAACAGACTGAGGGATCTCAGAGGGAAGGTGGGGAGAAATTAACCAAAGAACTTATATATTTATAAGCATAACCCATGGACACAGACATTTGTATGGGGAAGGCCTGGGAGTGGGCTGGATGCAGGGTGGAGGAGATCAATGAGAGAAAAAAGGAGACATCTGTAATACTTTCAGCAATAAAGATAAATTAAAAAAAAAATTGGACTGTTAAAAATCTATCTATTGTTATGGACATTATTATTCACTCCAAGCCCAATGAGGAGTGATTTGGGGGGAAATTGTGTGAGTCAGGCATTTTTATGATAATTTATAAATATACGTTTGTTACCAGGGCTTCACCCCTGCTGAAACATCACTCCTCTCTTTTATAATCCATAAAACATGGAGGGAGAGAGCATGAGTGAAATCTGGAGTTTCTACCTTTTATTGAACCCTTTTCACTTTAGGACGTGGACTGTGTCTCTTCCAACACATAGTAGGCACTCGAAACATAGTTATTGAAACAGTGTTGGATACTATGAATGGAATGATGTGATTGATGGTTATAGAATGTCAATTGCTTTTCTTTCTGGAAACGTGGAAATTGACAATACTCCTGTTAACAGGAGGAGGGGCCAAAGTATTCTAATCCTCTAGTAGGTGACTTCATGTGGCTGGAGGACCTTCTCATCACATGAAACTCTGTGCCCACCCCAACCTGCACTGATGCTGATTGCTGGAGCTTGGAATAGCCAGTGCAGTGTCTTCACTCTGAGAATGGAAAAACACAGCAGCCAATCCTTTCCTAGGTCTCTGGGACTATAACCCTCAACTTTCAACTGGAGCACTGGGACTGTAGTGACACATTTGACAGTGGCACATACAGTGACACAATACTTCCAAGTGATGACAGTGGGGTCTGCAGTATTGGATGCTACTTTACCTTTCATTATGAACTCCAGCTATTTGAAATTATCTAATAAACCATCAGCAAAGCCTGGCAAAATCTATACTAACTCCTAATTCCTAAGGTAGGATAATGAATACTTTCCTCCATCCATTTGAAGAAACAACAATACAAGAGATACAACAAATATCACATGTGTATGTGCCCTTCCTTCCTCCCTCCATTCCATCCCTTCCATCCCTCCCTCCCTTTCTTCCTTCCATCTTCCTCCCTCCCTTCCTCTCTCCCTCCCTTCTTCCCTTCCATCTTCCTTCCTCCCTCCCTTCCTCCTTCCCTCCCTCCTTTCCTCCCTTCCATCTTTCTCCCTTCTTCCCTCCCTTCCTCCCCCCTCTCTTTCTCTACCTCTCTCCCTCTCCCTCCCTCCTTCCTTCCTTCCCTGCCTTCCCTTCCTTCCCTTCCTTCCCTTCC